TAATCATCAAAATACAAAATTTAGAAAAAGGCCACATTTAAGCTAGTAATTTATACTTAGAAATGCTTCCTTAGTCATTTGCCAGACACTTTTTTTCCCTCTCTTCCATACAACAAATGTTTTTTAGGTATTTACACTTGGAAACATATCTGCAAGGTCATGGAAAAGAAAGTTAAATCCCCTTCTTTGTAGGAACTTTCAGTTTTCCATTTGCTCTTTAATACTTTGGCACTCAACAAGGCTCAGGTTAATTACATATATGCCTTGATTTTAAAAGGTTTAAGGTAACAGAATAGGCTACCTAAACACTCTATAAAATTCACGTTGAAGCAAGAAGAAACTCTATTTGGAATCCTCTGAAGTTAAGAGCCATAACTCTTGCAATAGAAAAATCAGGTTCCTTAAAGGAAGAAATGTTTAGAAAGTCTTACTTATTTGTCCTAGGGATAAAATCCTTTTTTATTTTTTGTTAAATTAATTTTCTTACTGAAAACTACAGCAGAATAGGAAAAAAAATTATTTAGGAAAATTAGAATCCAAAGGGAAGGTATACTCCTGAACAAAAATTTCAGCCACACATTGATTTTTTTTTTTTAATTGATTAAGGTCACTTAAAAATCTTTTTAAGAGTGAGATATAAACAATTATCCTCCCTCTCCTCCCTCTTTGGGATTCAGAAGAACAGTGGCATCTACACGTTTTCTCCAACCCTAACAGAACTATCCCCATCCATAAGAAAATGTAAATATCTTTCAGAAGATCTGTCTGAAGTCACAAAAGACAGAATCCCTCAGAATTTTTATTTTATCTCCAACTATTCTGGGTCTTATTGTAAACTTCTGTTCTAGAACTGTGTGTGTAATTTTATGGGACAACCATTTCTGATACTAAACTAACCTTTCAAGATTAAATTAGAACAAGCCATAAACACTGGTTCTGGTGTTTTGAATACTTAAGCATCTTAACTTTAACTTACTTGATTTGAAAAGACACATATAAATCCAAGTATTTACAGGATCCAGAAGTACAGCCTTAAAATTTTATGGACATATTTCCTATTATACTTCAAGATACATGATTTGTAGCATTGCTGTAAGCATTCTAATAAATATACAAAACTGGAGGTGTGTGTGGGGTAGCTTGTCAATGTTGGAAATGCTTTTTTCACAATATGAAAGCTGGTGTTAAAGGTAAGCTGAGCATTGTAATGAGTTTTGTAGCAAAAGCTGTTACTCAATGCTAGAAAATACTTGGACCTTAAGTCAAGTTCCTTTTATGGAAATCCAGTTTCTTACTGACACTAAATTTATTTTTTCACTAGATTTTTGTAGGACTGACAATCACTTTCAAACTAGGAAGGAGTTCATATCTATGCTAAAAATGCCTCTCATTTTCCATTCTCCATCTTAAACTCAAGACTACTGCTCCTTAAACAGCCAGCTTTTAAATAACTATCAAATCCCATAACCTCTGTTGTACTAAAAAAGAGGTTTCTTAATATAAGATCAGAAAAATTGGTCAATGCCTTTATGCCTTTCTTTTTCCAAGACTACACAGTCGATTGCTCCAAATCTTACAGCTTATCACTAAACATATACTTTCAGTGTTCAATGCCATAAAAATCACAACATGTAAATGACTGTTCATGCAAGAGCTCTTATTAAATTTGAATGAAGCCGTAAACAGAAAAGAATGGTTATCTACTGGCTTCACAGCTGGGTAACTGATTTCTCTTTTCCTATGAGTTTATCCCTACAACCTTCTCCAAAGCTTTTCTTGTTTTTTAGTAGACATTTATAGAACATCAATTAAGGCGGAACCCCTTCTGTAGTACCATAGCATTTACTTGCCTCCAACAGAAAATAAGCTCTGGTAGTTTGCTGCTAATTTAAAGGACAGCCTTGTTGCTTTGTTGGAAAATCCTAAAAAAGGAGATATGGAATTGGTCTTTTTTTTTTTGCTTCACCTTCTTTCCCATGAGTTGCATTTTACCTGCATTGAGATTTTGGATAAAAAGCCTGTGTTTATACCTGGTTCCTAAAACAGTATGCTTAAAATTAACAAGAACAGAGGAGTTATACATCAACTAAGTTCTCCTCACCTCCCACTTCAACTGGAATTTGGGCAGACCATAATTTATAAGGAACGCCAAGCACTCAGTACAAATGAAGGCATTTTTCAGCATAAGAAGTTACCCTGTAGTTACACTTATTCAGTGTGTCTTCATGATAGGAAATGAACAGCCTGTTAACTGTTTCCAGAAGACAATTCTTTCCAAATGCTATTAAATATCACTTTAAAGCATAAGTTTAATGCTTTATCAGCCTTTCAAAGTTGTACCTCGTTATCAACTTCAGAAAAGTACAGATGTATAAAAACAAAATGGGCAAACAAACGGAAATACAACAAGTAGAGACTTAGAGGCAATCTTCTATCACTATATGCAACACAGGACAACAGCCACAAACCTTCAAAGGCAAATTCCATTATGAAGGGATGTAAGAAAGCACTGTAGCTAGGCTATTACTAGCCATCCTCGTTGCAGAGGGGGTGCAGGGTTTGCTTTTTGTTTTGGTTAAAAAAGAAAAACAAAAAGACAGTGGATGCATAGAACAGTAGTCGTTGGAAAGAACTTAAAAGGTCATCAGTCATTCAAGACTGATTCAATTAGATCAAGTTTTCCAGTACATTGCTCAATTTTTAATATCTCCAAGGATGGAGATACCAGAACCCTCTTCTCAGCAACCCATTCCAATGCTTGATCATCCTCAAGGCTGAATTTTACCTGCCTCCCCACCCCAGGGAATCACACCTGCCACAATGTGTTTGTTGTACAGTTCAGTCTTCTATTTCCTCCTTCCACCCATCTGGTAGCTGAAGTAAGGATACTTCCTCCTACTTGTCTCCAAACTTAAGGAAGCTCAGTTCTCTGTCTCTACTCATACCTAAGGAGATCCAGCTCGCTGACCACCACTAGACTCGCTCTAGCTTGTCACTACCTTCCTTCTACTAAGGAGCCCACTGGTCACAGCACTTCCAGCATGGCCTCACTCCAATACGGTCTCACCAAAGTAAGGTGCTACTCTTATCTTCTCACAAAAGGTACAACTGCTTCCTTCGACCTGCTGGCTATACTGCTAATACAGCACAACACGTAGTCAGCCTTCTTTGTTGCAAGGATGCACTCTGCTTACTCACCCCACTGGGAGTCCTCCAGCACCCCAGGTCCTTTATGGTAGAGCTGCTTTGATCCCCAGGCTGCACTGTAAGTTATTCTGTGCCAGACACAGGGCTTTGCAGTCCAGTATTAATCTCCGAGGTACACACTAGCACATAGCCATCTATTGAACTCCATATGGCTGATCACAAACTTTTAAGACTGTCAGTCTCTCCACCTATCTGATCACTCATTTGCCTAGCTGCTATCTTACCACGCTGGTGATGAAAATACTATGGTAGGCTGCGTGGAAGGACGTGCTAAAAATTAAACAACATGTATGGTGTTATCCTTGTCTTCAGGCCAATCAGGTTGATAAGCACAACCTGCCTTTGTTAAATCAAGGCTTACTGCTCCTGGTCTCCTTTTAGTCCTTCCCACGCTTGGAAATATCTTCCAGGAGGATTTACTCTATAACGTGTTTGCAGTTTCCCAGATCCTCCTTCTTGCCTTTCTTGAAGGACGAGTATGTTTGTCTTTCCTAGCCACCATGAGTTTTCAAAGATGATTGAAAGCAGCTTCACAAGCCAGTAGCCAGATCCCCTGGATGCACACCATCTTGTCCCACTGACATGCAATTTGCTTGAGTACTCCACAGCCATCATCATCATGTATTCTGGGTAATGATTCTTTCCCATAGAGTTTATCATTAGGCTCAGGGTCCTTGGAGACCAAAGGACAAATCTTAACAGTAAAAACCTGAGGCAAAAGAGGCACTAAGCACCTCAGCCTTTTCCTTGTCTTCAATTACTAGTTCCTTGCACATTGAGCAGTTAATCCTTTGTATATTCAGACCAGTCTTCCATTGGATTCTACCAAGATCCCCGAACACAACTCTGTTCCCATGTAGTACACAGTTCTAATTCGACTAGCCAATTTACTAATTTCTTTCAGGACTTTGATCTTCTGTCTCTCACCACACCTGTGATCAGTTCTTCCCTGTCTGTAAGTAATAGGTCTAGCTAAGCACCATCCCCAGAGAAAGCTTGTTATACTCGAAGGAAACTTGCCTTTGTATTTCAAGTCAAACAGTTTAATGACCTCTTTCAGTTACAGCACAATTCGATTTTAGATGAGCTACAACACAAAGCAATTCACACTTGTTCTACATGTAAGCACAGAGCCTTTCACCCGCAAGTAATACCACAGCTACTTCATTTCACAGCTCTGTCACCTTTTGGCAATAGCACCCATGTTTTACAACCCATTTGAAAAAAGACTTTTACTTACCTGTCAAAATATTCACATCACTTTCATTGCACACACACACTGAAAATAACGCTCTTTAGCAGGGCACAGATGTATTGCCTGAACTAGTATTTACAACCACCTGGGGTTTCTGTTGCAACACAAGGACAGGAAATTAGTGCTGATCATTGTACTCCCCCCAATCTAATCCTTCCAAACTCTAATACTTGAGCAGAGTTGTAACAGTATAATTAATTTTCTCACTGTTAAACAGATAAGAGACATTTATAGAATCATAGAATATCCCTAGCTGGAAGGGACCCACTAGGATCAGAAGTCGAACTCCTGGCTCCAGCTTCATATTAGCTACTGCTAGACACTGCATACAGACATATACACCAAGGCTATTTCTTGGCTGTCAGAGGACTTAGGCACTGACTGCAAGTATTCTAGGTATCAAGTACTGCTAGCACTTTTATTCAGATTTGTCTGCTAGCATCAACTGAATGAAAAAGAAGTAGATACTACACTGTTCTCAAATAAAGGAACTATATTTAAGAGCATATTATCAGAAAAAAAGAGTATGCAGTCTCACCTTGAAATGATTTGCTGGGTGCATCACTTGATGTACTAGCACCTGCTGACAGAGTCTGAACATTTTCCAAGTCCTTCTCTCTGGATTTTGAGCCCGGATTTCTGAGAACCACCTCCTCTTCTCCACTCGAAGTATGCACAAGAGATGAAGAAGTTTCAGGATAGAGACGTTTCAGTACATTCCTTATGAACACTGTGTGGGAATAAAACATTTTCAAATAGAAAAAAAATCAGATAAATCTGATTTTCACATCAGTTAAAATTAGACAATTCTAATTTAAAAAAATCACATAAATCAATTTAGAGATGGTTGAAGACATTAAAAAATAAAAATTAGAAAACTAATTGACACAAAGTAATTTTCCTCATATTCAATGCAAGTCTGTCTTCAGCAGTCCCTATCTCTCCCATGTAATAAAATCAAAATTAATATATAAGTCCTAAACTGCATGAGAATAAGCCAGCTTTAAAACCCCAGAGTTCACTAGTGACATGACATACATTTGACTAGATTTTGGCAATAAATTAACATGGTACTTTTGCAGGCTAAACACACAATTTTTAAATTTTCTTTTAAAAACAAGCATCTTCCTACACAAGCGTTACAAGGCTGCTCGAAATGCAGGTCTCTTCTGGCAGAGGTATTGCAATTGGATCACTCATTAGAATCAGTAAGCTACAACTGCTTAATCACATGAAAAAACTAAAATTAGACAGTAGCAGAACACATGGTAACCCAATTATTTCCACAGAAGTAGCAGTATTCTTATACGCCTCTTCCTCTTATGGGCCACCTTCTCATGACACCTGCAATCTGCTACTACTTAATCAAATGATCCTTGCATTTGAGTAAAAATATGAAATATATGTAAATAATCTAGTCATCAAGAAAATCACCACCTTTACATGAATGCATGCATGTTGCTTCAAGTGACTGAAACATGTTTTATAAAATTATGAAGTACACTAAAAACATTTGTCTATTGCAGAACATCCTTAGTTTCATAAATTCTACACAGTCAACCAGATATTGCAGGATGGGGGGGAGGTGAGGAGGAGGGAAGAGAGATTTGGAGGAAAATATAATTGGAATTAAGATTCCATAAGTTTAACAGAAAGTGGAGACACCATACAAATGACTTGGTGCAGATTCTTAGAGTAATTCTGAACGGAAATTGCAGCTTACAGATAAGTGTACTATTGTCAAATAAGTCTCTTCAGTGAATAGCTTTCCTCCACAGCTAAGGAATCAGCTTCACTAAGGTGGGACATCCTTGAACCACCAGTCTTGGATAGAAAAGTTTAATCTTCCTGCCATCTCCCCACATGCACCTTGGTGATGTTTCCACGGTCATGTAAATGAATAGCTACTAGGGAGAACACATTGGTCAACCTTTTTAAGCTCCTACTAGTTTATACATCATCACTAACTCTTAGCTCGGACTCCACCTCTTGAATAAAATCATTGATCTTATCAAAAGACCTAAGAAAATAGCTAAGCCTGAAGAGGTACTTGTGCAGAAAGCTTTGCCTATGATGCCTGAATTCATTTTTTCTACACTTATCCATCATAAAGTGACATGAAAAATGCTGTGGCAAGCAACCAGTGATGTCCCCTTCAAGAAAGCACAATCAATTTTGCAAGCTAAGTGTTAAAACTATTGCTCCTAGAAAGAGAGATTTCAACAACTCAATGTACATTGAACACATATTTTCTTTTAATAATGGTTCCTTGCCTAGATGTTCTATAGACAGAAAGACAAAACCCACATATACTGGCCTTACAGGAAATTTAGAGAAAGTAGACAGAAATAAACAGTGCAGTAAGAAAAAGTTCACTGGTCTTTGCAGATCTCTGACTTTAAAGCAAGTTATCTGAGAGGTTTATTTGGGATCCTCTCCCTGAATACAGCTACTAGCACTGCAACGTTTTACTGAAATTCAGAAGTGCTGTTACCAAATTAACATTCAGGCACTTGTACTGAGGAAGCTGTTCTCCCAAAGCAAATGCTCATTGAGATATTGACAAAGCTATATATGGAAATACATTTTCTCCAAATCTGCTGAAGAGAACCAACTTCCTGATAGCTACAGTGGAGGTTATGCTCCCCACCTTAAAATTGGATTTTTCTAGTCATCCATTCAAACACCCCCTTCTTCCATTTTAAAAATAAATGCCTATACTCAAAATGTACATTAGCATTGCTTCAAAAAGCAATACGAGATCAGTTTTAAGATGTTCTTATTCTCATGGGTTCTCATTGTCTGCAATACCTGTATTTGAGAAAGCAAGCTGAACGCCACTTGCCTTTGGCGGGTACAAATATTAGGTAAGCGTTATTTCTAAGCTAGAGAAATTTTTGTGAAACATGTATCTAGATCATTGACAGCAATGGATTTACTTCAACAAAGATGTGGTTTAGCTGCCAACACAAGCAGTATCCAATCTCACTGGCTTTGAGCACAAGCACAGGAAGAAGCAGCTGGGTGCAAAGTGGGGGAGCTGTTTGCAGCATTTTCACACCTGGCAGCAGCTTTGCAGTACTGAGAGGCACCTCCTCAGGGGAGTGATAAGTCCCAGCAACCACAACAGAATGGAAATGGGCAGCAGCAACACATAGGGCATGACAAGTTCCCTGTCTGGGACCAGACACAGAACCACAGAATGGGTTAGGTTGGAAGGAACCTTGAAGACCACCCAGTTCCAGCCCCCCTGCCATGGGCAGGGACACCTCCCACCAGACGAGGTTGCTCAAAGCCCCATCCAGCCTGGCCTTGGGCACCTCCAGGGCCATTTGAATGCAGCAGGAAGGAATGCACCCCAGCAATATGCCTTCCTCAGGAAAATAAAAAGGTAGTATCACTAGAGTAGCTGGAAAAAAAAAGACTAATTTAGTCTAAGATATTTGTAATCCTAAATATATTCTTGCCTGGGAAAAACAAAGAAACCTGCCTGTGGTCCAAGCCTTTTTGATCAAGTTTGTCCTGGGTATCAATGAGCAAGGAAATTAGGCTCTGAGGAATACCTATCCTGCCATGCTTAACAGCTTTACACGTTCCAAAGAAGCAATCTGCTTTGCTTGTTTGCATCTCAGAGCTAAGCTACCAAAAACATTTCTCAGCTGATAGAGGATACCCTTTCCTCAGGGTTTTATTGCTGCAATTACTAAATAAATAAATAAAATCCTGTGATATCAATGAGTGTTGGCTTAACCACAGGAGGCTGTTCTTGCCTGATGCTACAAAGCTTTTCTCCCCCATTCAAAACCCTCCTTAACCTGGAGTTTTTTGTATTAAGCAGCATCAAAGATCTGTCAACCTGGTAAGAACTGCTCAGACCCTTAAAAATAACTACCTCTTAAAGGGAGATAGGCAATTTAAGAATATTTGAGGAAAAACATCTGCAACCAGAGATATATCTAACTTAGCAGAGCTCCAAAACGGAATAATACTTGCTCTCAGCACGCCACGAGCACAGCTAAGCACGTGCAGATATTTATGGGGTTGTTTTCCAGTCAATATAACAGAGGGAGGAACTGCAGATCTGCGTGCTCTTTCAAGAGACCAATCCAGGAATGCATTTCAACCCTTGGTAGCAGACTTACTTCTGAACAATCATAAGCAATTTGGAGATGTGGTTTTAGAACACCTCACAAGCTGACTATAAAATACAGGAAGATGAAGAATGAGGTATTTGGAGTCTAACAACAGCAAGTTGCCACACTTACGTACCATGATGATGTGCAGGGCATCAGAGGGTTTCATGTTCTCTAAGTTTTGGAGGAGGACATTACTGAATGTATTCACATACAACTGTCTCTGGACAGCTCTAACTCACAGTAAGATGCAAACAGTAAGATGCTTTCTGAGTTTTACAGGGAATATATTCTGCAATGTGTGGAAAAATTTCCCCACAGCCATACATTAGTAAAGGGGGACATGGTTCTGAACACCTGGCCACACAGTGACAACAGGAGAAAGCTCTAAGGCTCTGGCTTAGACGAACATGGCCCGGGAACCCCCACATTTTGGGGTTCTGGGTTATCCCAGCAGAGCTATAATTTTAGTTCAGTATAGCATGTGGGAAGACTTGTCCGTTCTATGTCTTCACAACACAGAACTGGAAGTTTTTACCCACATTTTGTGCTCTTTCCCTTCTAGGAAGGTGATGGGACTTCAGCTGTGATTACAGGTAATATTTTTTTTTTTTTAAATGCTTCAGTGTATGCTGTCGAAACTGAGATACTGCAGACAAGGACAGCATTACTCTTTCTATAACCATCAGCTAAAGATGACTTTGCATTTCAAATCTACCTGGAGCTGCCAAACCTCATACTGCACGTGCTCACAGGTGCATGTGGTGATGGGGTCACAGCTGTGCACATTGTGCCAAGGTTGTCAAATGGACTGAACACACAGTTCAACCCTGCAAAAGGGAAACTTCACAATATTACAGAAATGGTGAAGAGGAGGCACTGCACAGTAATAATATTAACAGAAGGATTCGGACCAAATTCTAAGGGTTTGAAGAGAGTCTCTGCTCCTTTCCTGCATGGAAGGACTAAGCTAGACCGACACTCCCTGTGTTAACAAGGTTACAAAGATAAAAGAGAAAAATGAAGCCTTAAGGACTATATTTTCTGTTGGTGTGGGGTGCTGTCCATGCTTAGGAAGACAAGCAAAAATTCCTAAGTGGAGATTAATAAACTGCAAATGACTACAGAAGAAAACCTGCGTGTACTATCAATCACGGGAGAGACCCAGCCACTACCATGATTAAAATCATGTACAATGACAGTGTGATCCAAGGCTCCGCTGGGCAAAATATTTTTTAATCTGGGACAGGAAAATGTACAACATTAAAATACAAATCTAGGAAGACCTTGCTGGAAACACTACATAGCTGTAAGTCTGCTGCACACAGCTAGCTACTGAACTCCAATCAGAGCAGACAGCAAAGTTTCTACAATAACCAGCAAGACACAGAAGAATAAGGAGAAGCTTTGGCTGTTTAATATAAGCAAACAAATCTCAAAAAAACTTTAAGGATGAAATGGTGAGAAGTGTTACATAGCTCATGGACAAGGTTGCATTAGACCATGTCACAATACTAGAAACTAATAGTGAGTAAGAGTTGCCAAACTAAATGCATTGATGAGCATCTAGAAGTTTATTAAAGAAAACTCAAAAACT